TAACGTGGACAAATTATACCTCTTAATTCGTTTTCGTGGCGGTAAAAGTTTGGAAAGTAGAGGGAGCGAGAGGCAATAGTATGGAATTTATTCCCAAACTTTCCAACAACTTAATTAATGAGGACTGATTAGACACGTTTCACACGAACCTTGAATATTTAATAATATTGTGGATTGGAATCGGGTTCGAAAACGTTCTCTCTTAGATATTCCACAAAATAACTCAGCTTTTATACAGGGTGCCTCAAAATTCAGTATGGAGATTTTAAGGACTCATTTTCCAAGTCAAAATTTGATTGGTATGAAGATATGTTCGCAAACGATCCGTTTTGAGATCATTTTATTTTTCAGCACCATTCATAAAAAGTCAAGATTTGTTAGGTTCATTATTTTTCAATTTATACTCATACATTTGTGATTGAGATCACGAAGTGAGTATGTAGCGTTTATTGGTTTCATTGCGATAATAGATTCCCTCTTCAACAAACATCCAACTACCTGGAGAAGTCCATCATATTGCAGGCGAGTCTGGGGAAGTGACGATGCCGAGGTTTCGATAATGGACCGATGCTTTTCCTATGCTGGGTAACCATCAGTTTAAAATAATGATGGCCTGGTGATGGTTAGATATTCGAAACCATTTGAACACTAACAAAGCTGTAGCCCTTTGCTGGCTAATATTCTGTTCACTACTCATCTCCCTGATGGATGTCTACATCAACAATCATTATTATATGTGATACTAGTGATAGCGTATGTTTCGTTTTTCTCTGGTTTGTTGTCGAATTATTGTGCTCCCCACTATCCCTGGCTAAAATTTATGATGGCAGGAGTATTCTCAATTGATGATATAGGATGTCGCTCTCCTCTGCCCTTGGGGGGTGATTTGAAAATGGCTAAACCCTTATTCTAATCTATACCAAAATTGTCGACGGCTATCCATATGATAAGTCCAAGTGAGGGAGCCTTGAAAAAACTCCATTCAGCTGATTCAATGCTATCAAAGTCATATCATGTTTCAGGATTATCTAATCATCAATCTCTATGATGTTTCGATATTTGCTATATTAGTTTGATTCAACTATTTTTAGAATCAAGAACTATCGATCAAATTAATTTTTTAGCTATTCCGGAGGTGACATATTCAAATTGCAGTAACAGTATGGAAAGAACATCTGATTTGGCATTGCTACACATACAAAAACAAATAGTTTCGATGAACTTCTGATATCTTGTATAAAGAAATTGTTTATCAAAGCTTCCTCCATGTATTCTCCATGTTCTCAAATAGAATAGTTGATGAAATATTCGAGGACTTCAATTCAAAATAAGAAATTTATAGTGCTTTGAAATTTGAAAAGTTTGCCACTGAATTTTCTACACCCTGTGACGATTTATGTCAACCAAACTTGGTTAGTGATCCTATCAGGCCTTATTTTATATGTATCTTCCATGATTCTATCGACCAGGCACTCTCTTTTTTGTTATCAATGTTTTTGACCAGAGGTGCAAAATTGAATTTTTGTTTCGTTATATTGTTTCACGTGAATATCTCTGAACGGTTTCAATGAGATTCCACGAATATGTAGGTTACCTTTGGAAGCACTCAAATGTGCCACAACATACATGATATATCATTTTCCTGGTGTGTGCCCTATGAGACAATAGAGAGTTCAATCGCAATATCCTGACACAACTGATAACCGATAATATATATACATATATTCAAGAAGACTCTTTACTTCCTATATTATATAGTTAGTCAGCAACTGAATACGACATGTTGATAAAATTTAGGAACTAACGTAACGCAAACTCTTCATTACGCTACTCGTTACGTTACGGTACATACATTTCCAAGAACTTATTACCTTCACAAGATAAATGAAAATTCCAGTACATCTTCCCTCCCCCTATCCTCTCTGGATATGCACGATATTCTTCGAACATTGCAGGGATTTCCTTTCGGGCGCTCCACGAGATGAAGAAAAAACACTAATAGCACACAGTTATAATCCAAATGTGTTTGCCTCGTGGATAGCCAGCCGTGAGTTATGATTTTGATGAAGAGGAAAGAGAGGACATCGCGATTATTGTTTAATTGTGGTTTCATGCGGTGTTGTCTAGCGACTTAGTGTTTTGTTTTTCCATCGAATATCAATATCATCAATATCAGAATCTTCTACTGTCAGAATGTATTTTAAACCTATTGTGATTCATGATACCTGTTTCGGTATACCGATGAGAAATCTAGGAGATATTCGATAACTGTATGTGTTCATCTAAGAATCGTTCAGCTCGTTAAACCTATTCCGCATTCTCAAGACATATACCTACTTATCACAATATGCAGGGGACATATCATATCTCTATGGATTTTTACCTCCAGGGGGATTGCTGGTGGGAATTGAGCTTCCGGTGCAACCACGGAAGTAATCACTTGCTGAAAATATTGACTGCGGAGCTTCTATTCGCAATAGTTCCTGAGAAATGGGTGAGGAACACATAGCTTCAATATAATTGTGTATACCTATATTCCGTTTCATCACTGAGATATCTTTCATATTCATCATCATCTCACATAGAAATGATTTGTATGAAAAATAAAATCATTGATCTCGTTCAGGATCCCTCAAAGACAATTTCTGCTGATTAAAATTAACATTGTAGTTCATTTTATGATTTTTTTTATATAAATTTCAATAGATACCCATATTTTAAGTATTTATACAGATGAATATCTCATTCAATGATGTGAAACCTTCTCGAAACTGATTAAAGTCAAGAAACGTTACAATTTTAGTGATTATGGCAATGAAAAATAACGTATGACTGTAGGTGATGGGATATTTATTCGGCTTTTGAGTAGAGCACCTAACAAAGTGTATATTCAGAAGAATTCAACAAATGATATTTTTTTTATGTTCTGCTTTCCACGAAAAGGGATATCATGTAATGTTCAGAGAACATCGTGAGAACTAAGGGAATCAAGGTAGGAATTGGTGTTCTTCTTAAATTTCTGAAGGTTATATAGCTACGTATACTTGTCATTTCGATTCTGCAGACTTGAGTTGAAAGGTAATGACTTTTATGAAGGTGAATGACTAATTATTGAATCTGGAAATTTTCTTCAACCTCTGTCAATTTGGTCATGGCCTCAGTTCGATATATTGAGTAATACTGATTTGTGACATCTTGAATGATGATTTTTGGATGTATGATAACTTAATATTCATCATACAAGACGTGGAAAGGAATTTCGAATTGAGAAAACCTAATCAGGAATCTGCGATTGAGGTCTATAAAAATAACAGGTTTCTATCGTTCAAGTTTGAACGCCTTGATTGGGTGGAAGTATTGAAAAGGAATATTTTCAGATATATTTACGAACACAAAAAAATTCAATATACAGGGTGTTTCATTGGGAAAGGTGAATAATTCAACTGTGGATAGGGGTCACTGAGGTGATTTCAAAAAACTCATGGTTGATGGGTCTTCGACTTCTTATAACCGAGACACAGGATGTTTCATCAATTTTGTCCATATCTTCATTGTCTCATAACTTTCCAACCAACCTGTATATATTTTTTGAAAATTGGTATACTCGCTCAATCTACCCTGTGGAATTGATTGAGGCAACAACAAAAGATAAAATCCAGGTCCGGCTTCACTTGAAATTCACAAATTCTTTCTGCCAGAAAACAACACCCTATACATTCGGACTTTTTATTTTTTCTGCCATATCTGAAAAGAACATCGAAATTTCTATTCAACGATGTGCTTTTTATTCGTGCACAGACGATTTTAACTATTGATATTATGTGCTCAAAATAATTTTTCTGCCCATTTTGGGGTACAAAATTGGAATCAGACGAGATTTATCAATTTCATTACTCCCTATTCAGTATACGTGAGGATTACATTTAGAAGGAGTATTTCATATATCGTTTTTTGTTCAAAACTTGCAGGCTCGTCATCCAAAACTATAATGAAGAATGGCTGAAAGAATAACTGGACTTCGGGTTACTGATAAGGATGTGATATCCGAAATGAGTTTTACTGAGGTTATGTCATATAACCTGTTCGTGAGAGATATAATTCTCATAGCATCACTGATACTGATGATTTTTTTTTTTGGAAGTTTCAAGCTCATCAAGATCAGAGTTCATACAAGTATACTTCTCCTATACATTCCAATTTCAATTTTAATACTGAACATATTGGTAAGTTATATTTTTACATGATAGTTCATCATATTATTCTTCTATTCGATTTGAGAGATAATGTCCATCTTCAATTTCAGAGGATTTTGATTTTTCATGTTCTGTTTTCGGAAATTCAACAGATATCATGCAATGTTCGACGTGGAAAACAGCCAGGAAAGTAGTTGTTTTCTGTTGAATGTTTAGAATGATATTATATGCATATCTTAATACGAAGAAGAATTCAAATTTTCTACTCCAGAAGATTTTGTTTTCAAATTTTCATCGTATGTGTTCAATAGATGTAATTCAATATTCGTCGTGGCATATAGCCAAGAAAGTAGTTGTTTTCTGTTGAATGTACCGAGAAATAATTAATATTTTCATCACATGGAGAATGCGATTTCTCAATGTATTTCTTTATATATATATACATTTCTTGTGTCTGTGAATATATCTGAGAATATTCCTTCTTGAATGATGATTATTAACTATCGAAACCATGTCAGTCAATTCACACGTTGAGAAACAAGAAAATATTATCAATTAACTTCATTGCTTATTCTTCTACCAATACCTCAAGATTAAAGATTGCGCTCGAACACGAATGGTTAATTTTGTATATTATTCTGTGGTCTCTAGTTCTACAATAATTGCAAATGAATAATTGAATAGATTTCTCTGGATCGGAATTCTTGCTTCATTTCTAATTTCATTTTGTTATGTATTACGTCAAAAAAAGAATACCGATATCTATGAAATGACAATCCTATCGAATTTGTTCAAGAAATAAATATATCATTCCATTCCTAGTCGGTATGGATGACTGACAGTTTCTTGTTCACTTGTCTCTTCTGGCATATCTATCTGCAAAAAGCGCCATGTCATGAGGACATAATCTGTGAACTCATTCTTAGTGAGTAGTTTTCTTCACTTCTTTATTCATGAAGGCGGAAACGAAGGAAATGATATCGCCTGTATTCCGGCTAACTTTTTGAATTTATCATGATTCCACCAGAACCAGACACCTAACGAAGTCGACATCGTACTAAAGATGTCTATAAACTCCAGGGTCTTCTCACTTTTTTCGCGAAGCGGGGTTTATAGGAAGAACCAAAATTCAATAGTTTCAATATCGAATTAATATGATGTGTTCACCAGCTGAGATGATCACTGTCAGATATGTAAAACTCATTTCAAGTGATTATTTCGATATGATCCGAATCTGAACAGATGAAGTATTTCTGATGGTGGGCTAGTAAATTAATTCAGAAGAAATTATTATCCTTGTTTTCGAAGTTGATGTAGATATTTTGTTCTCAGTAAATCATTTTCAGTAGTCTTCTCTGTGCCTTTTTCGTATCATTCTAGACTGATATTGGTTGATGTGAACTAAACATTCGGCTTCATACAAACATACATTTGTGGAATCAGATTGGATTCTTGATTTTCGACCGAATGAAGTGAATACTAAACCTTCGAGGAATATCAAGAACAAACAAATCGATGTGAATTCAAAGAGGGTTCATCAAAGAGCTGTATCAGAATGATGTTGAATATCTATGTTGCTCCTTGCAACTGTTATTCATCACCATAATGGGTGGTCGAAGTCGCTGAATGTGATTTTATTAAACACAATTCAGTGTATCCAATTTTCTTCTTGTTGATGATGGGAGACCAACTCAAAGTTTTCGAATTGAAGATGATCTTTGAGTGATTGGACAGGGTGATTCGAAACTTCTGCCCTTGGCTTATACCAGGAAGAGGAGTTCTGCGAATAAAAATTTGGCAGAGGGGATTTGTTAGTCAGAAATACTTTTTCGTATTCGAGAACTTTTCGAACGTTTCCAGAATGGTGAAGAAAGCGACAGAAAAATTATTCTCACCACAAAATTATCATCAGTTCTTATATTATGAACACATTTTTTTTAATGATTGTCATCCAGAACATGTTTCACTTACTTCATTTGGTTGTAAGCTATGCGACTACTGAAGTAGATGTTTTTATTCAGATCTCAACCGACCCTACTTTGATAAAATTCATGTCGGCCAGATTCAAGTATCAATCGGTTTCGATATGATTGCAAAATGTATCCCAATCCTTATTCAATAATCAACTCGTTTTCCGGCCTCCTTGATTTTTATTATGGCAGGGTCAGTTGAGAAACATTCGGATATATCAACTTCAGAGTCCCATTGCTATCAACCAACTGAAGATAGAAGAAAACATTCTGGATGAAAGTTGTTGATGAAATATTCTCTTCTAGAATTGGAAAACAATTGGTAACTTTCTAGGAGAAATAGTTCCATTTCCGCCAAAGGGTTTGAAAACAAAAAAATATACTCCACAAACAGCTATTCCTATTTCCCCTATCGAATTTGCATTTGCAGTTTTCCTTTGCCTGTTATGCGCCAAGTGCGATAAGTTTGAATCACACTATATGTCAGATTCTTCCATTCCAGAAAAATGTTCAGATTTGGACTAACGTGCCTCTATGAAATAATGCTATTGAGGGAAGTTAAAATTGTTCAATTAAACTCATCCAATTACCTACTTCGTTCACAAACATAAATACATTATAGGTTCGCATAGGTTCGTTTGGAAAAGAGAAACCATAATCTGATATTCTCTCCAATGTATGCACTAGAATTGAGTCACTAGATCCTGTCCAGTCCAAGTAGATCATCGAAAAATAGTGGAGACGCGTCATTTCAACAAAAATATGCCACCTATCATACTTCAATCTACAACCATATAATTATGTGATGTTTTTATTACTAACGTCATTGAATGTTGGGGAGTGTCACATCACACACTTCTACTATTCTGCCCTCTATTTCCGCCCTCACTACTTTCCTCCCCCACTTATGTAATACTCCAGGTATGTTCAGAATGGAATAGTGATTCATCAATTCCGATCGGGATATGATGGTTGTGAATAAAATAGTAAACAAACGTCTGTAGGGAGTTTTATTCCTGTCTCAAGATCATAGCTAACCTCGACGCTTTGCGTCTTGGTTAACTAACTAATCTCACGACAGGAATGCATCTCTCTCCATCTTGGTGTGTAATATACTATCATCCAATACCATGATTTTACAATAGTCAAGATAATCACCTGTTAAAAATCAGCTGCATAATTATCATTCGATTCATTATTGGATTTATTCATGTGGTAGGCGTCTACGCTAATTATGTTTCCAGATCTTGAAAATATTCACCAAATAGGAGAATATTAGGTATGATTGTGAAAGCTCACCATCGATTATGGAAATCATCAACAGTAATTACACTAGTGATCCTGATTTTTTGATTATCTCAACTAGACGCACGAATCTTTGTTGCTACGTATTCCACTAGAGCAGAGGTTATAATAATCTCTGACGAGAGTAATTTCCCCATGTGAATTTTTCTTTCAACTATCTTGTGAAATTCTCAGCAGGAACGAATGCACTCCTGTTCGAACAGACTTGTTTGTCAATCAGAACAGCCCACCAACAACGCACTTTGAGTGCACCTTCATGTATTCATTGAAATGAAAATCCGAACGTGAATGAATTATCGCTGTACTTTGCTATTGACGAATTATCAGCATGATACCATATGATTGGCTAGCATTGGGCATCGATATCGGTTGAAACGAGAAGAACGTTACATTTCGACATTGAGGAACAATAATCGAATGAGAAATTTCAGAAAAATAATTGATGTTAAGCTCTCAACATCATCCTCGACGTCCGATTATTGCGAGATACTTTCAAGCTCCAGATGAATTGAATTCGAATCATGCAGCTGATATCATTTTCTGAAAAGAACATATCTCCCTGATACAATTCATACTTCATACCGCTCAGTAGTTATCAAATAGACCCTACGTTTTTTTTTATGTGCTGTTTTTCACTAAGAAGGATATCCTGTAACGTTCAGAGAACATCGTGAGAACCAAGGGAAATAAGGTGGGAATTGATGTTTTTGTATTTCTGGAGACTATGTGCCTCGAGAAACACCTCTCTTGGCAATATGCTCAGCATCTCTCGAACATCTTCTTCAAAATAACATTTCTCTGAAATTCACTGTTTTTACCTCATCAAGTTCACGTTATTTTATGAACCTTATATTTATTTCTTTCAACTAGGGACTTACTTAAACATCAATATGTTTTTTTGTACATTAGGATGGATGAGAAAATATTGTCTATCTCATATTCATAGTTCGAATGCCGCGTATGAAAATGCACGATAATCCTTAAGCGTCTGCGCGAGCGTCCTTCATGTATCAAGGATGCGCATCGGACGACTCGAAAAAGAGAGGTCTTGAACACCGCACGATATAGTAATTTTTACCGGTATAAGTTCTCCGACAATAATACATAATTCGCGATGAACGAGTGAAAAGGGTAACTGATTGATCCAGTGATCCCAGGGCGCCCATCAGCATCAATATCAAGTACCAGCAAGTGCCTACCAGCCTGCCAGACTGCTTCAAGCAGCTTCAACGATATCGACCATCCAGATCCACGAGGTAATACGCCAAGGTGAATCGTGCTCCGATTTATTCAAATTGATGAATAGCCAATTCTGAACAAGCAAATAACCTATTCTGGACTCAACTGTCCGAAACAACATTGAATCAATGAAAATGAAACATACAGAACACCAACAGAAAACCTGGCCGGATATCTCGTGTTCTTCTGTGTGAGGATATGCAGCGCGCTGTGAATTTACTAAATAATGGTGAAACCAATGGTCAAGTACGGCTCGGTAGTCAAGTGGACTAAAGGTCTGCAGGGAACAGCCAGGGCAAAGCTCGCTGGCCTTCAGCGGCTGGTCGCTTGGCCATTACAGGGACGATGTCCTCTACTCCAACGGCAGTGATGGAGAACCTCCTGAACCTAACTCCCCACCACATTGTCTTGAAGAGGGGAGCCAGGATGGTTTCCTACAGATTCCTGTCATTGGATAAATGAATTAGTGGGGGTCGACTGCTTGATCACTCCGGGATACTGTGTGGAAAACAAAATCACATAATGGTTCTTGACATGTTGGCAACCCAAACACACGCGAAAAAGTCTTTCAAAGTCTTCTTTCCGAAGAGAGACGAGTGGGTGAGTGAATCAGTCCAATTTTCAGAGACCGAACACGTTATATACACAGAAGGTTCGAAAACCCCTCTCGGAGTCGTAGTCGGAATCAGAGTCGGTGTGTTCAGCAAAGAACCGAAGACGAAAATCTCTGTCAATCTCGGTAAGTATGCTACAATCTTTCAGGCGAAGGTCTTCGCATTCGAATTGTGTGCTAGACATTTGACTTATAGACCTCTAGTACACAAAAACAACAGCATTGTATCAGACCGTTAGGATCCTTTTGAAGCACTGAGTTCCAGCAAGATAAATTTCAATCTCTTATGGAGCTGTATTGAATCCCTAGAATTCCTGGGTGCAAACAACAGAGTTCCTTTGGTGTGAAGGCCTGCACACCCAGAGGTGGAGGGCAATGAGACAGCCGACATCCTCGCCCAACAGGGAACCAAATCTGTGTTCATAGGACTAGAACCATACTTTAGGGTCACCAGAAGTGCGGCCAAAACAACAATATCGGACTGGGCTAGGGGAAACTCCAGCAGCACATAATCTTGGCTAGGTATCGGCCCCATATTGGCCCAATTTTGCTGTTATTGGACGGATATGGAGCCAATATCCACCCACATACGTGCTACTGGGGCGAGAGACTCACGTACTGGTTTGAATTATCAGGGTTGAACCATTCGAAGGCGTTTTTGCCTAACCCATCGAAAAATTCAACCAGGAATATCCTAGAATGGGGCAAATCTGCAAATTCTGACAGGACTGCTTACGGAACATTGTCGT